AGAACAACAACCCAAGAAGGAGATTCCCCCATTACTGAAAGGACGAGATGTCACGCAGGACACGGACCTGATCTGCATCTGTATTGCAAGTTTCCTATTTATGCCTGGGAAAGCCAAGATTCGTTTGTACTTCGAAGAGGATGCAGGAAGTCGACATTTCACACCTGGCTAGATGGCTATTCCATGAGATAGAGTGTAGTATTTCAAATATTGACCCAACCCACACCATACCTGCCCCTTTCTCACATGTACCAATAGGGAAAAGCTATGGGATGGACTTGTAAGTAGGTGGGATTACAGATTGGCAAAGTGCCACCCACTTGGAGATTCAACTATAAAAGTAAAGACCCAAACCCTAGGTCTTTGCTAGCCACCTCTACGACCTCTATCTTCTTTACTACCCCTAAGGTTCAGCTTTCTATCCAACAATCCTTTGTCTACCTTAAGATCTCTTGGACTGCAGCCAACGAGATCCATACTTCCTTAGCTGGTTCTAGCAGGTGTGATTTAGCTTAAACCCCTAGGTAGTACTTTCTACCCCATTCCCATTGCAACAGACAAGACTTCTGGAACAGGAAAGTATAAATCAAAATACCTCAAGTAACTGAGAATCTATTTTATTTCTATTTCTGTAACTCTAAAGGAAACTTGAACGCATGCGAAGTGAGACTGATGTTTTTGTGTGTATGTGTCAACAGACAAGACTTATGGAACAGGCGAGTATAAATTGAAATAGCTACCTACCTACCTCCAAGTAACTGAGAATCTATTTTATTTCTATAACTCTAAAGGAAACTTGAACACATGCGAAGTGAGACTGATGTTTTTGTGTGTATGTGACTTTGATTTTGCTTAGTAGAGAAATTATTTGTTTTGGAAAAACACCCATGTGGTCTACATTACTGGGACTCTGGGTTCGGACATGACCCCGGTATAGCTGGCCAGAACTCACGTTAAAAATTTAGTTAGCCTCTGCTGTAAATAAAGCAGTTGGTGTAACAATGAGCTGGTCTCTCTGGGCATCAGAGGCCTTTTTCTCTGCATGCCCTTGCCTTTGCAGGTAAGGTGGATGAGCACCAGAGGGCAACAGCCAGACAGGAAACTCCAGCCTCCCAGAAACTCACCTGGTGCTCAGTTTGCGGAGTATTAAGGGCCAGGTAGGGAGGTGGGCACTTGCTTAATTTAGGGGATGTGAGTGACTGTTCCGGATTTTCTGTTCTTGTCCTCCCAGTTTATTTTTAATAGGAAGTGCTTATTTTAAAACGTTTTCAATAAAACTTTGCTTAACAATTTTGACATCTTAAAACCTTTCAAAATTGCTGTCAATTGTGGGAATGGCTGCATTTTATGCCATTCTCGTGTGCTTTGTTGATTTTTACATGGGTTTTTTATTGCTGATTTGTAAACCTTGGTTATCGGCAAGAAATCTGACATAATGAACATGAAATGGGATGAAAATTAAAAAGAAACAGGAGATGGACCTGTGCAGGAGGGGAGATTAGCTCTCCCCGCCAGCCCCAACCAGGCCCTGCTTCCCCCCCCCCGATTCGCTTTTCCCCCCTCCCACCCCTCCGCTTCGCA